AGTAAGAGCTATTGTTCCTGCTTGTGGACCTGGTTTATAGCTTACAGTTCCAATTTTAAATCACGCTATGAAATCACAGAGTAAGAGCTGCCAAGTACTCCTGTACTACTTGATGAGTAAAACACATATTCCAAGTAATTCACCTCAGAGACAAATACCAGCATCACTTTTTCTCTAAACACCGGCATAACTTTTAATTGGTACCAAGGGGCTCTGTAAAAAGCACTTTGTTTTTTCCTTCACCAGAAGCCAAAAGTGCTATTGTGTTATGGTGCCAGGCATAAAAAACAAACCCATCTTAACCATTCCTGACATCTGTTACTATTCTGAGACACCAACCTGAGTCACAATAAGATGCTAAATAATATGCTAACCAGAACTACAAATTATAACCTTAATCTATGTCTATGTCTTCCTTAGCAAGTTTTAGACCAATGATTGAAAATTACTTCATTAGGTTTAAAAAACATTCATAGCCATTCTAATTTTCACATTTTCAATCAGGGCTTTTATTTTCTATACCTCAGAATTTCAGTCTGTAATAAAAAATAGGGTATTAAAGACCCCTGATAAAGCCAGAAAGGATCAAATTGCATTGCTTTTTAAATTTCATCACTTTGAAGCTTCAACATATCTTCCTTTTATGTACACACAACATATGTGGATGCATTTCTGAGCACAAGGACTTGCATGTGAATTTATTATGAGATACTGACATAGGTGTGAAACCTAGGAAGTTATGAAATGTAATCAGAATCCTTCTTTTTCAAGGGGTGACACAACTGACAATCTGACAAATGACAATCTGATTGAAGAACCAGGCTCAGTAAGTTCCTAAACAAAAATTAATTTGTACTTGTTACACTGGTTCTCAGACAAATTCATAGCAATTATGATTGAGGTGAAGGGTTCACCAGCACAGAGTCTCACACAGCCATCAATTATCAAATTGAGTGAAGAGATAGCACATCCACTCTCTTTTCTAAGATGAGTTTATCACTAAGAAGCCTTCAAATATCAGGAATTTTAAGGCATCATGCTCTCAGCAGTCCTGCACATAAAGCACCACAAGTTCTCAGGCTGTGGTTTTTCCAACACTGATATGCGTGCCAAAGGCAGAGATACAAAGGTACAAGATAAGGCTCCCCAAAGGTCAGGACTGACTGACTCCAGACCCTCCTCAGTATGCTGTAAGATTATTTCTACTTGGGTAAAGAGAAATAGATGTATCTCGGATGTCTCACCAAGTCATTCCAATGATTTGAACTGTGGTCACAGACACAGCTGCTTACAAAGAAGCCATCCCAACAGTGGTGCTCCATATACAGCTCTATACATTCTACACATCACTCTCTGTAAAGTTCCATTTTGGATGGATTAATTTAACACACAAATCACAATCAGCTGCTTAGCAGGCAAACAAATTACCACAGACTTGCCTCCAAAAGTCACATTAGTACATCAGAAAAGCTACAAAGGAGATCATCATCACCAAAACACACAAAATGTATTAAAGACATGGGTGATGGAAGAGTTTCTCCCCCCAAGGGCCACCTCTTCTAGGTCTGCATGAGGTACTTTTTTACTGGGGTAATCTCACTCATATATAGGAGGAGTAGAGGGCTGAAATACATCAGTTACTTTTGAAGGGAGAGGAAAATAAAAAAAAATCTCACCTCTAAGACAAAAAAATAAAAGGTATTAAATACATACACAGGTCAGCAAACAAGCTAAGATGCTAGTCACACTGACACAGGCACTGCTTGACTGATTTCTCAATATTCTAGACTTTAGCCCCATCATCACGGATGCCTGACACTTAAAATGGTAAACAGGAGGAAGTTTAATGCAAATGAGCATTGAGCTAAACTCTGACCCTGTTATTTCTCCATTTTTATGAAAGCAGACTTAAATGTCACTGATTCACAGTAAAAGCTAACACTAAACCCTCAAACAATGTTACATGTCTACAGACTGTCATTCCCAGAGGTTCCACTGTGCAGCAATAATAAATTATTCACAGTGATCAAGAAATAACTTTTTAGGCAACAAATCACAGAAGGAATCTAATTACACTTTCAAAGTTTTCTTCTGTAGAAGTATTAAATATTTAAAGACTATTTAAAGGTACTTTTAATATTAACCGGTATAAAAAACATTTCCTTTGTGACAGCACAGTATTTTGCTGTTAGAATATTGTACTATGAAGTTTTTTTTAATATTGAATGGTTTTAGATAAATTATTTCAACTTGTGATGAAAACCACCAAAGAGAGAAACAAGAATCAAAACAGGAACCTAAGATAAGAATAAAGACTTTGGCAGCAAGGAACACAGGCAGAAATAGAATGTAATTAATTAAACTTCAACAATCCTGAAAGGTGGCAAAGTATCACCGCCCCTTATTTAACATGTTAATCATAGTTTTTATGTTGCATTACAGAGTAATAATGCAATTACAAATTCCCAGACAACAGCACTGAATACATATTTCATCAGGGCTGAATGCTATCAGTTCTACACACAGCGCTACTGTTAGTGCGTCCTATGCTCTCCATGTGATTAGACCTCTCATGCTGCCTCTGTATCTTTCAAGTGCCAGGCAGAATTCAAATCTTTGATGAACACACCTCTCAGATTCTGTTCAACAATACTAGTAAGTCTTTGGTCAAAGAAAGCAAGGATTTCCAGGCCTGTGAATGGGTTCCCTCTTTCCTGAAGCAGACGCTCTCAGCCAACATGATTTTGCTTTGAAGCATGAGAGGAAGAGACAGAGGGGTGAAAAAGATGTGGCATCAATATTTACAATAGGTTGTTCCTGTGACTCTTTCCTCCCTTCTCTCAATACCTATCTACATCCCAAAATCCACAGATTGGCTGGCAGCCGGATGACACCCAGGCTGTCTGTGCCAGAGCTGAGAAGAAAAGCCACAGCCCTGGGAGGAGATGAGGACAGAAGTGTAACAGATGGTGACAAAGGGTGGTTCAGACCACAGCACAGAATTAGTATCACTGATACTATGATAACAATGCGCAACAACCAGTGTGCCACAATAATTAGGGTTAATTACACAACTACTGCAGGACTGATATCCGGGCCAACACTGGCCACACACTGCAGACGGTATCTGCAGTATGCTCACAATACAAGCTCCAGGGCTGATAGAGGAGTTAATGCAGGGACACAAATCTCAAATCATTAACCAAGTGAACATTAGGCAGAAATGCTTTCAAGATGCAGAAATTCCATGATTTATGCAGGGAGACCCCTGGAACAGGAGGATTCCAAAAAGCAGTAACACTGTCTGCAGAAGGAAGACTGTAATCTCAGTGGATGGATTTCTCACTAAAATCCTTTCCCATCTCCCACCTCAAATGACAGGGATCCTGACCCTAAAATTATTCCATTATTCCATAGCTCTTCAGGATAATCTTACAAGGCTTATCTGTTTTCTTCATGTCTATTCTCTCTCTCAGCATAATCTTCCTATTTTGCTCACTCCATCATTGCTCCACTTTGTACAAAGCTGAAAGAGGAGATATTCAATCCACATATCATCCAAGATGCCCAGCCACAAGTTGCACCAAGAGACGTTCAGACAGGATATTAACAACAACAAAAAAATTATTCACTGTTGGAACAGGCTTCCCAGAGAAGTGGTCAAATCAACAACCCTGGAGGTGCTTTAAAAGAGGTGTAGATGTGGCACTTGGGGACATTGTTTAGTGATGCACTTAGCAGTACTGGATTAATGGATAATCTGAAAGGTCTTTTCCAACCTAAACAATTCTATGTGTGTAAATTAAACACCTTCTCCTTCCCCCCACTCCCTAACTAGACCAGGGCATGAAATTCAGATGCATGCTACAAGCCTGATTCTAAACAAACCAATACTAGGAAAAAAACCTCCTCTCTTACTATGCCTCCCAGTAAAAAGAACCACTGCCTCCCCTGAGAAACCCAGGTACAGAATAGGGGATGATGCAGACACTCCTTGACACATCAAAGGAGCTGTTCACTGTTTTCATGAAAACCTATGAACAAGGGATCTGTTTTACTAGATAACAGCATATTATTAGAGGCAATATAATTAGGGCCAATATAGAAGTGAATTTTTATTGAAGGTTTTCAGGGCAGTTATGGAAAGAGCTTCACCAAAGCCCACCTTCCCACTGGGGAGTACATTTTTAAGTTTTAGGAAATTAGTATAATTGATAAAAAACACTAATTAGGAGGACAAGTGGCAACGCAATTCCCCCCCAGGTCAAGCCCCTTCTCTGGAGCCCCTCTTCTGCACTAGTTGTACTTTGTCCTTGAAATGTATCTCGAAGAGTTGTTCACAGCCTTGGCTCCCAGGAAGAAGCAAGACAGGAGAGGGGCCTCGTACCTCTGGAGCTGTGAGCTTTGGATTTTGTTTTGTCTTTTTGCCTAGGGAAAGACCATGGCAAACTATTGGGAAAGCTACTCACTAAAGCAATAGGCTACAGAGCTACAAATATATAGAGACAATATAGAACAAAAAGGCAAAAACCAAAACGGCAGCACTATCCAGGAGAAAGTGTCCCTGCCCATGGCAGGGGAGAAGGTGGAACTAGATGGATCTTTACGCTCCCTCCCAACTCAAACCATTCCGCGATCAAACAAACAAACCAACCAAAAAAATCCCCTCACGACTGCTGTTTGCCACTACCATCGGGTGCAGCCGCGGTGCGCAGCCCCTGGCTGCTGACACGGGTGCAGCGTGGGCGGGAATACGGACCCCAGGGCCAGGGCACGGTACGCGGACACAAAAGAGAGCAAACGACCTGATGCTTTAAACAGCTGCACTTAACCGGAACACTCAAGGCTTAGAATGTTTTAGCAAAGGGACCCAGAATTTAGTGTTTCTTTAAAAACCTCGAATAGTCGTGTCCCGACTGTGGCTCGAGTGTGGCCCATGACAGCGGAAAACGCCCCCCAATTCCCCAAGGAAACTCCCTCCCTCCACCACCGGCTCCCACCTGCTGGCTCAGGTAGCGCGTCAGGTAGGGGCCGACGAGCAACGAGGCGCTCCGGTGGCGGCGGAGCGGGGTGGGCAGGGTGCCGGCCGCGCTGAGGAGCGGCAGGAGCAGGAGGAGCCGCAGCATCACCGCGGGCAGCAGGAGCTGGAGGAGCGGGAGGCGGAGCAGGAGCAGTACAGGCCCCGCGGCTTTATAGGGGCCCGGCCCCCCCGCCCGGGACTGCCCCGAGTGGCCCCGAAGGGAGCGGCGGGGTCCTGGGGGTGGGGCCAGCCCCACACGTGCAGGGGCGGGCTCTAAGCAGCGGCGCCTTCCGATTGGCTGCCGGCCGGCCGTTACCTCGCGCTCGCCTTCGTGGTTGGCCGAGGCGGCTTCCATAGGTGTTTCGGCCGCGCGGCTTCCCGCTGGGAGGCAGCGATTGGCTGTCCAAAGCACGTGATCTGCCCGTCTGGGCGCTCCGCGCCTTGCGGGGGTGCGGCAGACGTTATCGCTTTGTGATTGGGCGAGAGGGGCCGCTCGCCCCCTCGGACTGCGTCACGATTGGCTGAACGCCGCCTCGTCCCGCCCCCTCCACAGCCCTCTGTAGTCGAACTTCCGCCCTTCCGTTCTGCCCTCCGGCTGCGGGACCGCCTGGGCCGCTGAGGCCCCGCTGCACCCTCGGCCCGGCCCGGCGGCACCCAGCGCAGCCCGCGCCCGGGTGAGTCGAACCGCACCGACCGCTCGCTATCGGCCTCGGGGAGGCTCAGGGGGGAAAACGGGAGTGAGATGTGTTAACGACACGTGCTTTGCTTTTCCTTAGGGAGACAGCGAGGCAGCACCAGAGGGCACCAGGAACCGCGCTGGGAGCCGGGCCGCTGACAGGCTGCTAGCGCGGAGGGCTCTGTGGTTCCGCGTCTGGGCGCTGAGGTTTGGGTTGTTTGCTTTATTACAAAAAGTTCAGGTAAAAGGGATCTATTCGTGCCAGCCTCTTTCAGTCTGAGTCCGGGTGGTGACTTCTGTATTTCTTCCAAAGGGAAATAGAGGTGGAGATCTCGAGTCTCTTCTCTCTTGACAGAGCCTGTGTGAGAACTTACACGCTGTGCTTTATCTCCCGTATTCCAATTTAATACTTGCAGTGTTCTCTGTTTCCTGGGGTGTGCGTTTGTGGCTTTTTGGGGGTTTTTGTGTGTTTTTAATTCCTTTTAAAAGTGCAGATAACAAAAGCTAAACTTTGTTTCTAGAGTTCTGAGTTGAAAACAGGTGGGAATAAAGCACCTGCTAGTTTCTCCAAGCCCACCTTTTCTGGCAATAAAAAGCTCAGCTTAACTTTGTTATTCCTTTCCTATGTTGATGTGTTTTCCGTGTACTTTTTGCTGTTGTCTTGTACAAAATCTTTGTAACCAGAACAAAACAGTTCCCTTTTGGTAACAGTTGAAGGCATGCACCATTCAATATACTGAGTCAAATGAGTCTCTGTTAATATGTGTGTTCTAAAGAGATGTTTTTTTCTCATTTTGTTTGGACCCCTATTACAGATTTATTATTTTTTTTTTGCATCTGAACTATTCAGAGTAATGATTTTAGTCACATTTTTCTAGTATTCAGTGTTACAGATCTTGTTTTTACCAGGATGCTGAGAAAGGTGTCCCAAAGGGCAAAGGAATAGCCTGGAAGTTTAACTTCCTGATGGCAAAATATAAACAAAACATAATTGTTGATTATGGAATGTGGGATCTTTTTTAACCTATAAAAGCCATACTTGAGTATCCTCTATCTCTTTGGTCTTTTGTCTCTCAGAGAGAATTTTGGGATGAAGACGTGGCATTCCTTCCTATTCTGCAGTTTATATCAAAGAGAGATTATATTTAGCTAGGCTGTGATAAAAGAGCTTTTGCAAGTATGGACTTCTAGGGAGTCATTTGATTCAGCTTTAGAGAACATTTTGGTCATTTAAGTTGGAACTCTGTGATGTGATGTACTGGATAAGGTTCCAAGCAACTTGGTCTAGTGCAAGGTGTCCCTTCCCTTAGCATTGAGGCTGGAACTAGATGATCTTTTAAGGTCCCTTCCAACCCAAACCATTCCAAGAGTCTACTGTTGTTGTCAGCATGTTTCTAACATCTGCTGAGAAAAAAGTTGTCTGTCTAAAATGGGGAAGGTTTCCTAAAACTTGATGGTTTGGGCAGTAGAGTATAATAAAGCTAAAATAAATCTGCAGGGAAGCAATATGGAATAAAAATTAATTCCTATTCATTGAAATGTTTCGGTTTTTTGTAAAATCTGTATAGCCTCTGTTGACCAGGAGCTTCCCCTTTAGCTCAAAGAATGTAATATAGGAGCAAATACAGTTGTTGCTGTTGTGAGCCTTTTCCAAGATTTTTCTTTCCAAGAGTTTTCTTTCCAAGTCATTGGTGTTGAAGCATTTGCAGAATTACAAGTGTAGAATCATTTCTGGTTTTAACCCCATTTTGACTTCACTCTAAATTAAGGAAAATAATTAGAAAGTGATTTTCTGCAGTGCTGTGCCCTAATAAAAATCCCTAAATGCAGGTGAGAATTTGCATCATCTGTGTGCAATGGTATGCAAATGCCATAAACAGTTCCTTCATATTACATAACTTTATCCTTTTTTTGTTTTTTTCTTTTTTAAAAGTTAGTTAATAGAACTTCTATTTTCAAACAGAGGTCATCATTTCCTGAAGACTGCTATTCAAAATGTTAAAATCACTCAACTGAAAGCAGTTAATGTTAACATCTTGTTTCAATTTGCTCATTTCAGGTGATACTGTGAGCACATGAATAGTGTGCAGGGATTCTTAGCTGCCTCTGTGATTTCCATCCAGAATTCCTGCTTCATCTATCCTGCCTGTCAAAACTGCTTTTCTAGGCTGATACTGGATTCCAGGAGGTACGTCCTGTTTTGGGGATCATTTACTGATTTCAATTAACTTGGGGATCTCTGTTAGCTGAACACTAAGTAAAGTGGTAAAAATACAGCCCCTCCAGATCAAATCCTGATTTTATTTTTTTTCATCTCATTCTATATGTGCAGCACACCTGGTAGTCCTGTGACTCTTCACTGAGTGCATGTCCAGAAATGTATGAGCTTTCTTTTTTAATTGCAGTGGTGGGTGAAATCTCTGACACACACAAGAACAGTAAATCAATGAATGTCAGCACTAAATGGAAGGAGCTGACTTTGTAGAACAAGGGTACCTGTTGTTTCAGATGCTGAAGTACAAGATAACAGTGTTGTTTCCTGATTATTTTTTTAAACCTATGTATTTATACTCAAGCTGCAGGAAAAAAAATCCCAAACCAGAATGAAATGTGAAAAAAATGAGCTGAGGAAATTCAAAATTGCACTCCAACAGTCTCTCAAAGCCCACCGTCCCTTCAATTTGACAACAGGCTAGCATTTAATAAATCAGTGAAAGAAGCCAGAGTCATTCTGTCATTATACACACATCTTGCTCTGAGTTTTTGGTGACATTAATGCCTCAAGGAGTAAAGAATAAGAAAAAAAATCCTAAAGTTTTTTATTGAATATTTGATACATTATAGTAGTAATACTTATGGCTGCAGATAAATTCTTACCTCAGTAGTGATTAACAGAAGTTCATGTATTCAATCTTTTTTATCCTTTTCCTGTCTTTTGTCAGGTTCAACTGTCTAAAGTGTGGCTGCACAGGTGAAGCTAAAGATGCAAGCTACAGATATAGATTGTCCCTAAAGATTGCTGACATTGCTGATTTGTTTGACATCACTGTTTTTGGAAGTTGCTTAGATCCATTCTTTGGGGTCACCGCAGAAAATCTGCAGAGGTAAGGAATAGATTGTCTGACCATATAGCTGCTGCTATTTATACAGTCTAAAAAGCTGCAGTGAGCCTAGATGGTGGGAAGATGAGTGAGAAGTAACTGCTAAAGTGCTCCCTTCCAGCATTTCCTTGGTACCCATCACCTTGAGAAAGTGCTGAAGTTTGTTTCTTCCTGAAATCTTGATGTTTTGAGATGTATTACTTCTAGGTAGTAGAAGAAATCCTCCACTTGTCTATTGAATGCAGCTACTACCTGTTAAGTGAGCCTCATTGGTTGGTTGGTTTGGCTTCTTCCTTGTGTCCTTTCTCTTTTTTATTTTTTTGAGATGATTGAATTTCCTTTGTTTAAGTAAGTTGGCTTTTCCACATAGAGCCTCTGGGTTTTCTTTTTTAACAGTTTGAATGCACCTTGTGACTATTTGGCAATATGACCAAATTTTCCTGAAGAAAGAAGGGATTTCTAAGGAAGTCTCTTAGTTCTCAAAGCTTGACCACCCACAGTATAGGGCTCAGATTTTCTGAAATGTGAAGCTGCTTAGATGGGATATTCAGAAGCAGATCCCTGCTTCTTTTCTAGTCTGTTATTTTCCAATGCCTTGTGTTATCACTGGCTCAAAGATGAATTGTTTGTAATGCCATATTAGCAGCATTAATGACATGCTCATGGCAGGCATTCTGCCCTACACTGCTGTACTGCTGTCAGCCGTGAAAAGCAGTTATTTCCATGTCTAACATGGATACTACCATGCTGTAAAGGCTGGTCAGGAAGGATGTGTAAGAAATAGCAGCATCTTGACAGCATTGTACAGTCACTGTGTTGGCAGAAAAATCACAACCACGTGGGGAACACCTGAAAGTCATGTGTGTATTAAACCTGTTCAGAGTGGTTGTTTTGTTGACTTTATCTCACTAACAAGTTAAGTGAACTAAAAAATTGAATTTATAGGTTCATGGTTTTCCTGTTCTTATTCTATCTTTAATTGAAGCTACCACAAAATCTTTTCCTTAATGTGAGTCCTCATTAGCACTATAATGCAGCTAAAATGCTGTGTAAGGCTTCTTCCTCTGTGGGGCCAATACTTCCATATGTTTTTATTCTAGGTATATTCAAGACTTTAACCAGCTGTCAGGAGAAACAATCACAGAGTCATCTACAAGAGCATTAGTTCAAGCAGTGGAATCCTGTTTCATTGGAAAAAGGTTTCTATTTGGAGTGAAGGTAACTTTTAATCTATATTATGGCCTTTTAGTGAGTTTCTATAGCCAGTTAGAGGTCTCAACTGAATTATCAAAGCTGCATGTACAACATCTTTTTGAAGTTTGAGAAAATGTGAGGCTAGGACATGAGAAGGATTCTGCTTCTTTTTCCTGACTCCTGTGGTTTTTAAAATGAGTCACATCCAAAAATCATCTTGAATGGCAGTAGTCAGCTAAA